AGCCATCAGGAATGATGCAGCAGCGGAGCAGTGCTGTGCAGTGCGGTGCAGATCAGTGCTGTGTTGTGCAGTGCGGTGCAGAGCGGTGCAGTGCGGTGCAGAGTGGTGCTGTGCGGTGCAGAGTGGTGCAGTGCGATGCAGTGTGGCGCTGTGCAGTGCAGTGCTGTGCGGTGCGCAGCGACAAACTGGGCGCAAGGGGGGGGGGGGGGGGGGGGGGGGGGGGCAGCGGGCCGGCGGACGTGGAACGGGCGCGGGGCCGACGAGGGGCTGGCACAGGGCCGATCAGGAACAAGCGCGAGGGCAGGCTAGGAACGGGCGCGGGAGCCAGCTAGGAACGGGTTGAGGGGCCGGCTAGGAACGGGCGCGGGGCCGACTAGGGCGGGCGCGAGGGCCGGCTAGGAATGGGCGCCGAGGCCAGCAAGGACCGGGCGTGAGGGCCGGGTGGAACGTGCGCCAGGGCAGCTAGGAACGGGCGCGCGGGGCCAGCTAGGAGCGGACGCGAGGGCCGGCGAGAACGGGCGCGAGGGGCCAACAGGAACGAGCGCTAAGGGCCGGCGAGGAACGGGCGTAAGGGCCGGCTGGAACGGCCGCGAGGGGCCGGCTAGAACGGGCGCAAGGGTCGGCTGGAATGGGCGCGAGGGGCCGGCTAGAACGGGCGTAAGGGCCGGCTAGAACGGGCGCGAGGGCCGGCTGGAACGGGCACTAGGAGCGGGGGCCGGCTGGAACGGGCGCGAGGGACGGCTAGAACGGGCGCTAGGGGGGGCCGGCAGGAACGGGCGGTAGGGGGGGGGGGGTAACTGGCGGCTAGGACCTAGGGCGGAAGCGTGGGCGGGCGGTGGGACCTACCTACTCATGATACCATATCAGAATTGAATAATAATTAGAAGGCATGAGTACAAGGGTATATGACCTAAGGCCTGTACCCTCTAAGGCACAAACATATACAGTCTATACAAACATAACAATATATGTTTGACATGCGCGTGCGCTAATTTGCTTCGAGCATTTCAAGACCAATAGAGTCGTAATTCGGCGGGAAACTTTTCCGGTAAATACATTTGCTGGAAAAAATCAAAAGAAAACCGGCAAAGTTCTATTAGATTTGTGTTAAATTGTATCATATATTATATGTATATATATATTTGTAGGCTTAGTAGGTGTTGCTGGATCCTACTGTAGAGGGTACAACTCCCTCCTTGTATCCTTCTCTATTCTAATCTCATTCTCTTCTCTCTCGACATTCTCTCCTAGCACCTAAACCTCTTGCCATTCATGGCTTCTCCCCCTAGCTAGCCCCATTCTAGTATTCTAACATGGTAACAGAGCAGGTTCAACCTGCTGGACCTTCTTCTCTTGCTTCCGCCGCACACTCCTACTCTCTCTATCGCGCTACCATGGCGGCGCGTCGTGCTGCTGTGGCGGCGTCGTCGTGCCGCCGGCCGCGTCGTGCTGATGTGGCCGTCTCGACGCACTGCCGTGGCGTCGCGCTGTCGTGGCGTCGACGTCAAGTCGTGGCGGCATCGTCGACGTCAAGTCGTGGCGGCATCGTCGACGTCAAGCTGTGGTAGCGTGACGGCGTCGTCGTGCTACCGTGGCGACGTGCTGCCAGCGTACAGACGGCACGGACGGCAGCGGCCAGCGCCCGTCTTAGCGCTAGCGAGCACGCCCGCATGCAGCCAGCGCATCACACGGGGCGGCGCGCTCCCCGGCTCCGCTGCTGAACCCCCCTCCCCCCCCTTCCGCTGCTGAAGCCCCCTTCCACGTCGCCGCCGCCGCCGCTGTCGACACTGCCACCGCTGCCGCCGTTGCCATCTCACGGGCCGTGGGGTTGGCCCTGCCGGAGTAGTCATGGCTGCTGCTGGGAATGGGGGTGCTAGGTTAGGGGGTGTGGGTGTGTGTGGGTCCTTCTACTACCAAGCCTAGGGGATGTGTTAAATTATATATTGTGTTACATAATTTGTCGGCTTGGTAGGTTATCAAACTCTACTGTAGAGGGTACAATCCCCTCCTTGTATCCCTCTCTCTTTCTAGTCTGACTCTCTTTCCTCTCGTAACTTTCTCTCCTAACTCCAAAACCCTCACGCCATTCCATGGCTTCCTACCGTTCCTACTAGCCTAGCTTTCTTAACACTCCGCCGCCGTCGGCAGCTGTCGTCAAAGCCGCCGCCGCCGCTGCTGTCGACGCTGCCGCCGTCGCCACCGTTGCACCCGCTACCCTTGCTCTCGACGTCGCCGCCTCATGCGCCGAGGGGCTGACCCTGCTAGAGTAGTCGTCGCTGCTGCTAAGTATGGGGGTGCTAGGCTTAGGGGGTGTGTGGCTTAATGTGCTGTGTGTGTGGTGGGCTTTCCACTACCAAGCCTAGGGGGTGGGTTAAATTTTATATTTTGATATTTTATATTGCTGGATCCTACTATAGAGGGTACAACTCCCTCCTTGTATCCTTCTCTCTTCTAATCTTCTTCTCTTCTCTCTCGACATTCTCTCATAGCATCTAAACATCTCGCCATTCATGGCTTCTCCCCCTAGCTAGCCCCATTCTAGTATTCTAACAATTTGTTTATTGAAATTAAAACCACAGGCTAAAATAGCAAAAGGGGGCTTCAAGTGAGCTCCCCTTGAAGTGGTGGCGCTGTTGAAAAAAATTGGATTGCCAGGGCAAAACTGCCAAGGAAGTTTTGGGGCAGCTGGGCAGATATGAACCTACCGTGATCCGCACCTGTCGGAGAAACTCGATTTCGGAACGCGTGCGACGACTTCCCCAAAGCCACGCGCGACAGTTTCCCTGGGAAAGAACGTAGCAACTGCGGCAGGAGGAAGAGGAGACGCAGGGGAAGGGGGGGCGGGGGGGGCGAATCTTCAACGACACGCCATGGGTGGCGCGGCGCTTACTGGCGGGAGAGGGCGAATCTTCAGCGAGGCACCATGGCTGGCGCGACGCTTACTAGCGTGAGGGCGAATCTTCAGCGAGGCACCATGGCTGGCGCGACGCTTACTGGCGTGAGGGGTTATGACTGGCGCCTAGGACAGGGCACTGGCCGCAGGTGTCCGTGCGCTGGCGTGGCGAAGCCGCCTCGGCAGCACGACGGCACGGCGGCACAGCGGCGCGGCGGCACGGCGACCCAGCGGCACGACGGCGCGGCGGCACCATAGCACGGCGGCATGGCGGGACGGCGGCACTGAGGCACTGAGGCACGGCGACGTGACGGGGCCAGCGCGGCTGTCAAACATGTGTATTTGTCATGTTTGTATAGACTGTATAGGGTAGCCTCTTAGAGGGTACAACACTTAGGTATATCTGTGTGTACTGTCACTCTACCTATTATTTACTTCTCCAATCCTGATATGGTATCAGAGCAGCGAGGTCAGAGACAGTGGGGAAAGATGCAAGGTCAGGAAAGAGCATCGGGAGGATCAGGCGACCCACCGAGGCAGCCGGAGGGGTGGAATAGCGCTTGATGACAGCATCTAAGTATGCCTGAGCAGTAGTGAGGGACCTAAAGCGAGGGCGCTCGGACGGGGGAAGGGCGTTGCTAATGGCAAGCTGAGCGACAGTATCGTGAGAAAGCCAGACAGAGCGCGCACGGGCAGTGGCAGCAGTGGACTCGTGCTCAGTGGGTGTGGAGTCAGCGGGCAGAATAGCAGGGGGGTCTGGGCAGGGGAGCGTACCGTCAAGGTGTGCGGAAAGCGGTTCACCATCCTGCCGCTGGCCAGTGAGTTGGCGGCGGAGGTCGCCAAGCCACGCCTCGAACTCCAGAGGCTGGCCTTCAGCATCGAAGCGAAGCTCCGCCGCCATCAGGAGCAGTGCAGTGCGGTGCAGGGTAGTGCAGCAAGGTGGAGTGCAATGCAGTGCGGTCGAGTGCGGTGCAGTGCGGCCCAGTGCGGTGCAGTGACGGGGCCAGCCCGGAGTGACGGGGCCAGCGCGGCGTAAGGGCTAGTGCGGAGGGACGGAGCCGGCGCGGAGTGGCGGGGCCGGCATGTTCTAGTGGGGCCGGCGCGGCGAGACGGGGCCGGGGCAGAGTGACGGGCCGGCGTGACGTGATGGCGCCGGCGCGGCTTGACGGGGGGGGGGGGGGGTGAGTACGCTGCGGAAGCGTAAGGAGAAGGCCAGAGCGAAAGGGGCCTGCTCTGAAACCATGTTATAAAGCTAGGTTAGCTAGGAAGGTAGGTGGCCATGAAATGGCGAGAGGTTTAGGAGCTAGGAGAGAAAGTTACAAGAGAAAAAAGGGTGAGACTAGGAAGAGAGGCATACAGGAAGGGAGTTGTACCCTCTACAGTAGATTTCGGTAACGTACCAAGCCTACTAATTATATAACACAATATATAATTTAACAGAAATTGGGCTGGCGCGGCCAGGAAAACGTTCCGAGACGGATGGGGGTTACTTCTTCTGACCATTCGTGGAACTTTTTTCGTGCAGTTTCTGACTAACGGTGGATCCCGACGGATGACTCATGTTGCGAACTCGCTAATTCTGATCGTTTGTATCATGCCACTGACTGTACGTGTTATCGAGGCCCCTAATACTGAGAGCCGGTATACTTTCCATTGTACAACCTTTCAAATTTATGCATATTCTGTGGAAATGAAGTTGTTCCCAATCCGCGAGCCGCGTTTTACATTCGGACTTCACGAGTTTGCAATCGTCATCTAACCGTCCACGTGACGAGGAACCGCTTCTTGCCAGGCTTGCCACATCACGTTCCACAGCCTCTCTCCTGCCTTGCTTTCCCATAGCACAGGAGATGGCATCTGAGCCGTCGATTAACCTCACTTTCAGTTTCTTTCACAACAACCGAAAGTGGCTGGACAGCTATACACGTCAGGGAAGGCTGGAGAAGTCCCTCCCTGGCGTGTCATATGTTTGCCTGGAAAAAGGACGCAAACTCGGTCAGCGAACTCGGGGTCGAATAAACCAATCTCAATCTCTCGTTTCGTTTCTCTCTCTCCCCAAGTAGTACTAGCCACATCTGCGGTGTCGTGACAAAGAGGCCCCGTCACAGCAAAAACTCGACTCGTAACTAAGTTGTTATCGCAATTAAAAGCCTTAGATTTGCACTTGTGAAAAGCCGTGAGCGCTGGTGGGGCGGCTGGAGTCTGTGAACCCGAGTTCGAGAACATCGGGTCGACACTTAGTAGTGTAAGCTGGGTCCGACGAATTCCTCAGTCCCTCGCTCTCACATCTCCCCCGCCATCTGACTCCCACCCGCCGCACGGCATTTCAAGCCAGCAGCAGAAATCCATAACACCAGCAGTTCAGTTCTGCTTAGTTCTAACAGGCCTGCTGCTTCTCTTCACTTCACATCACTTCACGTCTCACTTGCAGCTCAGCACGAGGTCGAGTCTGCTAATTTCGGGTCGCTGTGACCCCTCTCCTGTGGCGAGGCTTGCAGCATCGAAATCGCAGCTCGTTCCGGCGGGCTCGCTTCCGCCATCGTCGGTTTGCTCGTGCGACGCAACTTGAAGCGCGTTTGACGACGCCGCCTAAGTACCCTGCAGGTAGACGCGTGGTTTTCGCCGCGATTCCCACTTCTCCAACTCGCCTCACAATCATCCCGCCGCTCCTCTGGGTCGCATGGCGGCAGTGCGAAGATCCGCCGTCGCTGCGACTCGGCTGTGGGACTGCGTCGCAGTCGCCGCAACTGGGCGGCAGCACATGAGCGTGGAATCATCTCAACACTTTATCCCCGATAAAGACAAGCCACGGGGCTACACCGCGCCTGTGCTCGCGCCGAGTAACCTCAGCCGTTCCTCCTCCTCCTCCTCCTCCTCGTCGGTCGCTTCCTCTTCCCTCCCCTATGCACGGCCTTACGACTTCCTTGAGACAAAGGCGACTCGGATAAACCACCCTCCGTGTATTTTACGTGGCGCACTATTCCCCGGGACAGCACACGCTCGCCGATTCGAATCACCCCGACCCGCCGCTTCCCCCGCCGCCATCTCCCCCATCCCCGCGCGCGGCATCGCTGGAAGTTCCGCCATCGGGAGCGCAAGTGGCGGGGAGCCTGGCGGAATTGCGGCTGCGGGGGACGGCGGGGGAGAAGGTCACGCGATTCTGGAGTTAAAGCTGGCGCAGACGGGCGAGGGGATTGCGGAGTGCGAGCTGCTTCAGTGGTTCGTGGAAGAGGTGCGTCAGGCTGACGCTGAGGCCGAGTCCTCGTTTCTGTTTTTGAGTGTGTGCCCTCCCCGCGCAAAGAGCGGAGAGTAAAAAGCGCGAGGGCACGGAGTGCGAGCTGCTACAGTGGTTCGTGGAAGAGGTGCGTCAGGCTGACGCTGAGTCCGCGTTTCTGCTTTTGAGTCGCCTCCCCTCCCCCCTCCCCCTCCTCCTCCATTCCTCCGCCTCCCATTACTTTCTCCCCCTTCCGCCCTCTCCCCTTCTCCCCGCGCGGCAGGGCGAGGAGGCGCGCGCGTTCCAGCGCGTGTGCCAGGTGCAGCGGTAACCACTCGAACACACACCCCTCCCCCCCTCCCCTCCCCTCCCCTCCCCTCCACCGTCCCGCGCTCCCCGCTCCCCGCAGGGCGAGGAGGTGCGCGCGTTCCAGCGCGTGTGCCAGGTGCAGAGCGACAAGGCGACAGTGGACATCACCAGCCGCTTCCAGGGGCGCATCCTGCGCACGCACTTCATGCCAGGGGACATCGTCAAGGTGCGCTATGGAGGGGGTGGGTGGGAGAAGGGGCCATGGGGGAATGGTTACTTATCCTGCGCACGCACCTCATGCCAGGGGACATCGTCAAGGTCAGCACATCGGGGGGATAGGGGGAAGGGAGGAAGGGGGGGAGGGAGGGGGGGAAGATGGGGGGGGGGGCATGGGGGGATGGTGGTACGTTTTGCGCACTCATTTCATGAGGGGGGGCATTTGTCAAGGTGATTTCCCAGGGCGGTCGGGATGGGGGGAGGGACGGCTTGAAGGGGACGGGGTGGCGCTTAACATGCATGGTGGGCAAGGGAAGGTGGGGCGGAAATGGTGCTAACGAAACATTTTTTCGCCTCACAACAACTTCAATCACCATCCATCCCTCCATCCCTCCCTCCCTCCCTCCCTCCCTCCCTCCCTCCCTCCATCCATCCCCCCCCTGCCATCATGACAGGTTGGGGAGACCCTAGTGGACATTCTTCCTCCTGGTGCAGGCGAGCCCGCTGCCGCGTCAGCACCGCCACCTCACGACACGTCATCACAGCCACGGCCAACAGCAACCGACTCCACCACCCCTTCCACCAACGAGCACCATGCAGCACTGCTGGCAGTGCCAGCGGTGCGCCACCTGGCGAAGACGCATGGGATCAACCTGGCTGACGTGGAGGGTACGGGCAGGGACGGGCGCGTGACTAAAGAGGACGTGCTTGCATACGTGCAGTCACGACAGGGCGTGGAGGAAGAGATGCGCATGGAAGAGCACGTGCTAGAGGGGCCGGAACCAGCCCTGGATGAAGCAGGGGGGGAAGGAGGAGGAGGAGGAGTAAGAGGAGGAGGAGGAGCAAAAGAAGAGAGGGGGGTGGCGGCAGGGGAGGAAAGGGAGAGGGAAATGGCAGCAAGGGTTGGAGTTGCTGCAGGTTTGGAGGGTATGGGTGTGAGCGGGAGGGCTCATTTGGACGACGTGGACTCGAGCGATGTTCTGCTGCCCATGCGGTGAGACGGAGGGTGTGGTGCATGACGGGGTGATGGAGAGGGTGGGTGGGATACTGGGACCTTTTGAGTCCCAGTATCCGAAAAGTGGGACCGCTGACATTCTGAACTAGCGTGTGCCGTGGCAGGCAAAGGTGGATGAGGGGAGCTGGTACAGCAGAGAGAAACACAGCAGGGAGAAGCACAGCAGAGAGAAACACAGCAGGGAGAGGCACTCTCTTCATTCTCCCCACTCTTCCTTCTCCCCACCACTCCCCTCGCACAGCAGGTACCGGCGCGCCATTGCGCGGGCAATGGCCGGGGCGCATGCTGATCTGAGGCGCCGTAAAAATCGTTTAAAAAATCGTCCCATCCCAACTCTCTCTTCCCCACCATCCTCTCCCCCCCCTCCCAACAGCGGGTACCGGCGCGCCATGGCGCGGGCAATGGCGGCAGCGCTGGCGGTGCCGCACTTCACCTTCATGGACGAGGTTACGATGGATGCTGCGCTCGCTCTGCGCTCCCAACTCAACGCTTCCTCTGCCGCTGCCGCCGCCGCTGCTGGTGCTGCTGGTGCTGGTGTTCCTGGGTCTGGGTCTGGGTCTGCTGCTAGAGCTGCTGATAAGGCGGCGGCGGCGGGTGGGGCATCAGCGGTGCGGCTGACGCACCTGCCGATCCTGGTGAAGGCGCTGTCGGTGGCGCTGCAGGACTTCCCCACGCTCAACAGCACGCTGGACGACGCCTCCCTGCAACACTTGCGCTGCAAACGTGAGATGCTGCTGCTGCTGCTGCTGCTTCTGCCTTGCCATTGAGATCTAGATCGGCATACTACGCCGCACATTCCCCACACACCTCCCCCCTCATGTGTATGCGTGACTGCGTGCAGGGGCGCACAACATCGGCATTGCCATGGCTACGCCATCTGGCCTTGTGGTTCCCAACGTCAAGAACTGCCAGAGCAAGTCCATCCCCCAGGTATGCCGCCCATCCCCCAAGTCCATCCCCCTTTCTCACATATATATTTCAGTTTTCCCATGTCTGCAACAATGTCATATCTCCAGTTGAAATCGGTGGTCCACCCCCCCCCCTGCCTGCCCCCATCTCTTCCACCTCGTCCACCAATCAGATCGCAGCGGACATCGCTCGGCTGCGCCGCCTGGCCCTGCTGAACCAGCTGCCCAACGAGGACGTGACAGGTGGCACCATCTCCATCTCCAACATCGGCAGCATCGGCGGCACGTACGCCACGCCGCTCGTCAACCTGCCTGAGGTCGCCATAGTGGCGCTGGGGAGAGTGCACACGGTGCCCCGCTTTGATGCTGATGGGAACGTGCTTCCAGTCTCGCTCATGAATGTACGTGGGCTACGTTCTGCAGGGGTGCAGGGCTCAAATTTTCTGTGGTGTGTGCTGTGTGCTGTGTGGTGTGTGCTGTGTGGTGTGTGCTGTGTGGTGTGTGCTGTGTGGTGTGTGCTGTGTGCTGTGTGCCGTGTGCTGTGTGCTGTGTGCTGTACTGTATGGTGCGTGGCGTGCCTTAGCATGGCTCCGTCTTCCCACTCATGCCCGCCGATCCACACGTGTCCTCATTGCACCTGTTTCACCTCACTCACTAGTCCCTGCTGCCTCTTATCTCTCCCTGCACTATTTTTTAGGCGCCTCAAAAACATTGCAGCTGTTTCACCTCACACACTAGGCCCCGCCGCCTCTTATCCCCCCCTGCGCTCACTGCTCCGTGTGCAGGTGAGCTGGTCAGCAGACCACCGGGTGATAGACGGTGCGACGCTGGCAGCCTTCTCTTCCCGCTGGAAGTCCTTTATAGAGTGCCCCGCCAACCTGTTGCTGCACCTCATGTAGAGCCTGATCTAAGGTTGGTTTTTAGACGTCTCAAAGCCAACCTTATAGAGTGCCCTGCCAGCCTACTGCTGCACCTCATGTAGAGCCTGAGCCTCCTTGAGCCTCCGTGTAGAACCCCACCTGCTCCTGCTGCCCGCCTGCCCAGCCCATGTCTCCAATCCGAACCTGCGTCCGACCCGCTTGTGTCTGCCTGCCAGGTTGCTCATCCCTGGGTCTTGACCTCACTAGAGCACACCCACCGTGCTGGAGAAGAGAATCTGCGTCATGGCTGCACGTGGCACTTGGTGCCTCACCTGCTCTCTCCGCTTTCTGCTTTCTCTACTTTGTGCTCTCTCTGCTCTCTGCTCTCTGCTCTCTGCTCTCTCTGCCCTCTCTGCGCTCTCTGCTCTCTGCCCCCTCTGCTCTCATTGCTGTCTGCTGGGTTGTACAGGCTGTGTCCACACTATGCATCCGCACAGTACATGCTGTCTGGTGCACTGTACATTCACATTGCATTGTATATTCTTGTATATAACACTCCTCTCCAACTTACTACCAGCTCCGCAAGGACCGGTAAAGTACGGTACTGGCAGAGTATTGTTGTAGGCTGAACCACCGATTTGAATTAACACTAAACCAGAAACCCTAAGCACTTGTTGTCAAACATATTTGTGTGTGATGTTGTAGACTATATAGGGTTGTGCCTTAGAGAGTACAGCCCCCCTAGGTTATAATGCCTTGTACTCTCACATTCTAGTCATTCTTTCAGTGTGATATGGTAGCATGAGTAGGTTAGGTCCCCTTCGCCCACCAGCGCTTCCGCCGTAGGTCCTAGCCGTCTCCTAGCGGCCACACGGCCCCGTCCCCTAGCGGCCCCTCGGCCCCGTCGACCGGCGGCCCCGCGGCCCCGTCCCCTAGCGGCCCCTCGGCCCCGTCGGCCAGCGGCCCCGCGGCCCCGTCCACTAGCGGTCCCTCGGCCCCGCCGACCAGCGGCCCCGCGGCCCCGTCGACCAGCGGCTTCCCGGCCCCGTCCCCTAGCGGCCCCGCGGCCCCGTCCCCTAGAGGCCCGGCGGCCCCGTCCCTAGCGGCCCCTCGGCCCCGTTGATCAGCGGCCCCGCGGCCCCGTCCCCTAGCGGCCCCGCGGCCCCGTCCACTAGCGGCCCCTCGGCTCCGTCGACCAGCGGCCCCGCGGCCCCGTTCCCTAGCGGCCCTGCGGCCCCGTCCCCTAGCGGCCCCTCGGCCCCATCGACCAGCGGCCCCGCGGCCCCGTCCCCTAGCAGCCCCGCGGCCCCTCGGCCCCGTCGACCAGCGGCCCCGCAGCCCCGTCCCCTAGCGGCCCCACGGCCCCGTCCCCTGGCGGCCCCGCGGCCCCGCGGCCCCGTCTCCTAGTGGCTACTCAGCCCCGTCGACCAGCGGCCCCGCGGCCCCGTCCCCTAGCGGCCCCGCGGCCCCGTCCCCTAGCAGCCCCTCGGCCCCGTTGACCAGCGGCACCGCGGCCCCGTTCCCTAGCGGCCCCGCGGCCCCGTCCCCTAGCGGCCCCTCGGCCCCGTCGACCAGCGGCCCCGTCCCCTAGCGGCCCCGCGGCCCCGTCCCCTAGCGGCCCCTCGGCCCCGTCGACCAGCGGCCTCGCAGCCCCGTCCCCTAGCGGCCCCTTGGCCCCGTCGACCCGCGGCCCCGTCTCCGTAGCTGGCCCCGTCCCCCCGTCAGCCTGTTCCCCTAGCCGGCCCCGTCCCGTCGCCGGCCTTGACCCGACGCCGACCCCGTCGCGTAGCCGACCACGCCGAGCCGACTCCGCCAGGTAGCTGGCCCCGTCACCTAGCCGACCCCGTCGCCGCGTCGGCCACGTCGCCCAGCCGGCCTCGCCTTCCAGCCGGCCCGCGCCGACCCTGCTCCGCACTGCACCGTCCTGCACTGCCCTGCACCGCCTTGCACCGCATTGCACCGCACTATGCCGCACTGTACCGCACTGCACTGCACTGTACTGCCCTGCCCTTCTGCCGCCGCACCGACCCTGATGGCGGACTCGGTGCTGCGCTTCGACGCGGAGGGCCAGCCGATCGAGTTCGACAGGTGGCTCGTCGACCTCCGCAGTCACCTCACTGGTTAGCGGCAGGACGGCCACTCCTTGGCCGTCCACTTCGACGGTACGATCCCCTGCCCTGACCCCCCTGCTGCCCTGCCCGCTGACCCCTCGTCTGCTGACCGTGAGTCCGCTGCCGCTGCCGCCCTTGCCTGCTCAATCTGGCTGTCGCGTGACACAGTCGCACAGCTCGCGATCAGTCATGCCCCCCCCCTGTATGAGCGCCCACGGTTTCGGTCAGTCAGGACTGCGTAGGAGTTCCTCGAGGTTGTTGTTGCGCGCTACTCCACCCCACCCGCTGCCTCGGTCGGACGTCTGATCCTACCCATGCTCTTTCCTGATCTCGCGTCTTTCCCCACGGTCGCTGACCTGGCCGCCCACCTGCGCACGCTAGACGCGACTTGGCGCGCTGCTTGCACTGAGTCCCAGCTTCGTATCTTTCAGTCACCCATCTGTTCTACCCTCTACCTGCTTGCCACCCGCCTTCCTGACCGCCTTGCTACCGCCTGCGATCACTTCCTTAGTCTCCATCCCGCGGACCCCACCCTCACTGATTTTGTCGACACCCTGTCTGTCATAGAGACCCGCCATCGCTCTATCGCCCAGTCTAGCAGTACTGTGCCGGTCACTATCTTTCAAAGGTTGTGCCCTCGCTCAGTGTACTTTCTCTAACGGTTCGGCTGCTGTCGCTGAGACAGCGAATGCTGTGGCGACAGCCGCCGCAGCGCAGTTCCGTCCGGGGAAGGGTCGCCGCCCCAAGGGTGGGCGCGGCGGCGCTAGTGGAGGAGGGGGTGGAGGAGGTGGTGGAGCCAGGCCGCCCGCTGGTAGTACGGACGAGGGGACTGGGGCTGGTGCCTCCGAGAAGCAGCACCAGCAGCAGCAGCAGGCGCAGCAGCAGCAGCCGCAGCAGCAGCAGCAGCAACAACGGCGGGCTGGTGGTCTCCCGCCTGGGTGGCCTGGTGCTGGTGGTGGCAGTGGACGTGGTGGTCGTGCGCACAGTGTGCCGTCAAGTGGTAGTTCGGGTGACAGGCGCTATCAGTACCAGCTCCAGACCGGTCCTTGCCGTGGCTCCGTGTGCGGTAAGATCGGTCACACCCCCGCCCACAGTTTTCGTCGCCTGGACGACCTGTTTCGTCTTCGCTTTGGCCCGTCGCCCGACCTCCCCAACTGCCACAGTTTGCTTCGCCATAGTGTTCAGATCTTTGATATGAATATGCATGAGATTAGCTCTGCTTTGTATGTGATGTATGTCAATGACTCTAGTGTGACTGGTTCCTACTACCCCTTGTTGCCTAGTGTAGGTGTGCCTAGTCTGGCCTCCCCTGCTGCGTGAGGCGTAGGATCCCTTGCCTTGTTTAGTCTTGGCTCCTCCCTCGCCACTCAGACCCTGGCTGCCACTGCTGTGCTCTCCTTTACCCTGGACTCTGGCACTTCCCGGTGTTTCTTTCGCTACTCCACTACGCTGACGCCGCTTGCCGCTCCCGCCGCAGTTTCCCTTGTCGACCCCTCCTCAGGTCTGGTAGTCACCTGTAGCTCCACCACCCTTCCCTGTCCGGCGGTTCTTTCGGGCTCTCTTATAGGCCTGCACATCCCCTCGTTCTCTAGGAACCTAGTTGGTGTCGGCTGCCTCCAGGACCTTGGCGTCACCACTACGTTTCCTGGTCACGAGCGGTACGCTGTCTGTACATCCCTCACCACGTTCCCCCGGGACCCGGTGTCTGGCCTGTTCACGCTGGACACCGTGCCCCCCTCGGTTGGGATGTCTCCCCAGGTGGCTGCGTCTACCCAGGTTGCTGCGGCCTGCTCGTGTCGGTCGCTTACTCACCCGACAGTTCTGTGGCACCACCGTCTAGGTCACCCCGCGCTTCCGCGTCTGCGTCACATATCTCAGCACGGTCTGTCATAGGTCTCTGAGAGTCGTTCACTGAGTTGCCCTCCTCCCCAGCGCCGCCGTGCACGCCCTACGCCGAGGGCCGGCTCCACCGTGCCCCTCACTCCTCCTCGTTCCCCCCCACCACCGCACCGCTTTAGACCCTGCACATGGACGTCTGGGGCCCTGCCCCTGTCCATGGGCCGCTTCAAGAGCCCTACTTCCTTGTGCTTGTCGACGACTACACGCGCTACACCACGGTTTTTCCCCTGGAGCGGAAGGCCGACGTGCCTGACGCTCTTATCCTGTGGCTGGTCTCTGCGCGTGTGCACCGCGGTCTCCCTGTCTTGCGTCTTCGTTCCGACCGTGGTGGCGAGTTTGCCTCAGGCGTTCCTGGTCGTTTCTGTCGTGCGGAGGGCATCACCCAGACGTTCACCCTGCCGGGCTCCCCGCAGTAGAATGGGGTCACTGAGCGACGCATCGGTTTGGTCATAGAGGTGGCTCGTACCTCCATGATCCATGCCGGTGCACCCCATTTTTGTGGCCGTTCGCCGTTCGCTACGCCGCTCACCAGCTTAACCTGTGGCCGCACCCCCAGGTTTCGCTGACCCTTCTTTGGACCGGATCCCCTGGTGACGCGTCTGCGTTCCACGTGTGGGGCTGCCTTGCTCATGTTCGTGCCTCTTGCACGGACAAGCTCACTGCCCGCACCGTCCCTTGTGTCTCCCTAGGTTTCCCCTTCAACTCGTCTGACTGGCACTTCTACCACCCGCCGTCTCACCGTTTCTTTCGCTCTCGCGACGTCACCTTTGACGAGTCCGTCTCCTTCTACCACCGCTTTTCCCACCGTGGTCCCCCGGTTATTCCCCCCCATCGGTTGTCCCGGTCGAGGAGTCTGCTCACTCTAGTGGCCGTGTAGCGCAGCCTTCGCCGCCCGCCCCTCTCCCGGTGTCTCCTCCTCCGTTGTTGCAGCAGTCATCGTCGCAGCCACCGCCGCAGCCGTCGTCGCAGCCACAGTCGCCGCAGCCGTCGTCGCAGCCGCAGCAACAGCAGTTTGTCGACCCTGGGGGTGCTGGCGTTGAGGAGGGTGCTCGTCCTTGGGTTCCTGTCGTGGCTTGTCCCGGCAGGCCTGGGGGTGGTACCGGTGCTGGAGAGGTTCCTGGTTGTGGGGGTGCTGGAGTGGAGTGTTCCGGAGTTGGCCGTGCAGCAGCCGGCGGTCCCGGTGACGCCGTCGTGCCGCCGCAGCAGCAGTCGCCGCCGGTGTCAGCCCTTCGCCTGCTCGGCCTTTCGTCCCCTGACCACGCGTCGGTGCCTCCTCCACCGTCTGCTCCCCTTCCTGTCTACGACCCCGTGTTCCCTCCTCCGGACTCGTCTCCGGCTCAACTTCCCCCGCGTTTCCTCATGTGTCTCCTCCTCTGTCTCCTGACTCGACACCTCCATCTCACGTCTGGTCCCGCCATCCCCCTCGTGCTCGTCATGTCTCTCCTGTTCCGCGCTCTCACCCTATGTTGCTCCGTTCCTACGCGCCTCGTCCTCCCCTCCTACCATAACCTCCTCCGTCCTCCCTTGTTGTCGCGCCACCCCCTCTGTCTGACTACCTTCGTGCAGCTCGTCCTCTTGTTCCTCGGGTCCTTGCCTCTCTCGTTACCGACCCATCTGTTCCTGTTTCGCGTCTTGACGCTCTTGTCGCTGTGGTCGCT